GTGTCCTGTCATATTGTGATTGATGGAGGATGCCAGCGGAACTGTCATCTACCACATCTGGAACACATACACATCTGGGGAAATAAATTATTTAGTGTAAATTCGAGTTAGGAGACTTTTCTGATTTGTTTTGACTTTGGGGGAGGGGTTGGCAGTAAATAAGAGAAATATCTAATAAAACCATCACATATACCAAATACCTATTTAATAAATTAATTTATAATGGATTTTAATGCTTTTCATGAAAGTTTACTTTATGCTAGTGCATACCTTCTGTATGCCAATCATTGTCTTTCAAATAAAGTAAGTTTGGTTTTTTCTTTTTGCCTTTGATCTTCATTTGCACAGAGCGCTCACAAGGATATCCAGTTGCCTCATTTGTACCAGCTCTAGAAACCCGGGGGCCTGGTACCACACTAGCAAGCTTCTTTTTTAGAAGATTGCTATCACAAACACCCGATTTTCTTTTGAAAAGTGTGACAGCTTCACTCAGTTGTGAAGGACTGTATGATCCCTTTAGAGTTCATAGTTTCACACACACATACACCACCCAAAGGTGAGTGTTTATAGACATTGCATGACCTTCAGAGAGAGTTCTGACTGTCCGCTAAAATATTTTATTACTTGAACAACAAGTTGAGAAGTAAGCGCTTGGCTTGGCACCTGCGTGTGACTGGCCCACTGAGTGTTTAAGGGCATCTACGTGTGGGCGCTCACGGTTCTGCAGACATTGACACAAAGCGCAACATGGGCTCAGCCAGAACAAAAGGCCACCCCAATAGAAGAAGCCTGCGGGGCTCTGGCTTCCTGTTCTCACCAATGGTTGCTTCCAGTGCATGAATGGCAGGGATAGCATCCACATTTTACCTCTTGAGTTTTGTGCTCCTGCCAAGCCAGTGATGATACTTGAAGATGGGGAAGGGGTCTTAGAAGACCCTCCTGCAGGGCTGGCGACGCAAAAGGGGAGCAGAATATGATTTGTGGGGAAAGGACATGCCAGATGTCTTCTGAGGAGCAGGTGATTGGGTGCAGTTTTGAGCCAATCAAATCGCTAGAAGGTTGGGAGTGGTTGAGGGCCCCAGCAGGACAGTGGACCACATATCTGGCGGGAAACTTGTTTCTGTCTAGGAACCCCACAGACACCCTTCTCCAGGTCCCTCCTTGGAACATTTATGTGCTAGCTTCGTGCCTCCCTCTTGTGTTAAGAGTGTCTGGGGGCCAAGACACCCCCGTTCCCCTTGACAATCGCCTGTTATTCATAACCTTTGGGTTGTGGGAAGTCTGGGTCTCAGTGCTCCATCCCTTGCTTGCTTCACAGTCCAAGCGATCTTTATGGATCAACTCCTAATGGCTGTTCCACACCCATGTGTTCCACTGGGTGCCTAGCATTGGTCCCAGAGTTCAAATATCCCTTAAGGAAATAGGCTTTGTAAGGAAAGAACTGTCTAGCTGAGTTGCCTGTTGAGCACCAGGCCTCACTGGAAATGCCACACCACAGATCCTGGGATATGGCTTAGATCCATAATTGCATACAACTGCTCCTCGGTTGGTGGCCACTCATAGCGCACACCTATAAGACCAATAGTATGTTCCTCCTTTGTAGGAGCGGTCATCTGATGTCTCCCTGGTATACAAGCCCTGTTGGAAGTGATGACTCAGCATTGGCCAACAGCCCTCCCACACACTGGTCGGGAGGTGGAAGAAACACAGAAAGTTAATCGCCCCCAATTCACTCCGATCCCCAGATCACTGAATCAGCTCTCTTAAACACCAGCTGGAAGAGTCTGCTCTGTAGATGCAGGTTCCCTTAGAGGGAGCAGGCAAGCACTGACATACCAAGGAGCAGACTCCTGCCATTGCTTTCTGCGTTGGTTTTCCTGCATCTTCCTCGTCCATCCCGACTGGTCCATCCCGGGCCAGCTGCATCTTTTTCCTCTTTATCTCATCCAGTGTGATGACTTGCAGATGACTCCCAGAACTTTATTTCCCTCCACTCATCAGCATCCCAAGTCAACACTAGAATCTCCTACCCCTTTGGAACTTGCACTTCAAGGCACTTCAAGGACAAGTTCCCCTTGTGTCCTCAGATTTCCCCTCCCGCTGGGAGAGAAGACCATGAATTCTTTTTTGCATGTTTTATTTTTGTGTTATATAGGGGTGTTTTTCCTGTACTGTGTAAATGTGCCGGTGCCCATGGAGGCCAGAAGAGACATCGGATGCCCTACCTGGAGTTGTGAGTCGCCATGTGTGCTGGGAGACAAGCCTGGGAGCCCTTAACCGCTGAGCCAACTCTCCACCTTAGGTCTTGAATTAAAAGCCAGTGTGGGCTACTCAGTAAGCTGCTGTCTCAAGACCCTCCATCCAATAAAGGTTTCTCTGTGAGAAAGGAGGGGTTTTTTTCTATCAAAGGTGGCTAGCCCACTAAGAGCTAATATTCCCTACACTACTCCCACCTTGTAAAACTTTTACTTAAATCTTTTCATCTCCCTACCCTGTAAAACTTTGAAATAAAGGCCTGGCTGCATTCCTGGAACTTGACCATTTTCCTCTTCCCTACATTTCCTCCTCCTCGCCTGCTTTCCCTATTAGCCAGTCCAGGGTAGACTGTGAGGTCGAACCTCAGCCAGCGGAGAAGCCAAGCTCCCCCTGGGTTAAGGATAAAAGATGAGTGAGTCCATCTTGGCCATCTGTGCAGCTTGCCAACCCCATTGGCTGAGGCCCACTTTTTGTAGTAAGAAGCGGCTTGCCTGGTTACTTTCTGTTTCACTGAACGATTGGAACCGAATTCTTTCCCAGCGCCACGTGTCTAGAGTGGCTTCTCCACTGTTTCTTCATCTCCCATGTCCCACGTGGCATCTTAGTACCATCTGCATTTTTAAACAAGCTTTTGGCCTCTTAACCCAGGTTTGGAAATGTGCTAAGTCTCAGTCATGCTTTTTAACCAAGTGAAAACATTGCTTATGTCTTTAAACATTGTTGCTGACATTTTTGTGCCTCCTTTCTCTTAACACTAAGTCCCAGTAGTCACCAGGAAGAGGCAGGCAACATTAGTTTCTCAGAGAGGTGGGGTGTGGCAGGAGGCACCGGGTCAGCGGCTCAGGAAAGCCTCCTCGTGGGGCTGTTTGTGTGCTACCTCACCTACACGTGAGTTCACTAATGCAAGTACTTGGTGGAAATGGAAATGCTGGCTTGTCTGGGCACTGCAAATGGATAACTAATTGAAATCTGAGTTCAGAAGGGGCCATCAGGATGCTCTGATGGAAAGCCCAAGTAGGGACTACTCTAACCCCAGGTCCCTTTCCCAAGATCCTGTGGCTCCCAGGACACCAAAATCATCAAGTGAGTCCGTCCTCGGTAGTTGTCCTGCTCCAGAGTGTCGCCACGCCAGCCCAGCACCTCAGCTGAGCGTGGCCTCCACTCCTCCAGCCCAGCACCTCAGCTGAGCATGGCCTCCACTCCTCCAGCCCAGCACCTCAGCTGAGCGTGGCCTCCACTCCTCCAGCCCAGCACCTCAGCTGAGCGTGGCCTCCACTCCTCCAGCCCAGCACCTCAGCTGAGCGTGGCCTCCACTCCTCCAGCCCAGCACCTCAGCTGAGCGTGGCCTCCACTCCTCCAGCCCAGCACCTCAGCTGAGCGTGGCCTCCACTCCTCCAGCCCAGCACCTCAGCTGAGCGTGGCCTCCACTCCTCCAGCCCAGCACCTCAGCTGAGCATGGTCTCCAGTCTTGTGTGTGTTTGCTTTCAACTTTGCGGCAATGTTTTGGTTTTTAAATTTATTTTAAGACCCAATATTGTAGATGTAAGGGAGTCTTGAGGTGATCTCCATGTCTATGTCAGATCATTCTCAGGAGGGTCCCAGGAGACCATCCTAACCACAAGGTCCCAAATTACCAGTGATAGGAAATCAAAACAGCTCCCCCAGATGTCACAGTGATGGCTTTACTCAGCTTCCCTGGGCTCCAGCGCTCCTAATGGGCACTATTAACACTGGAAACATGGGCCCCTTCCTGGCATCCCCAGCGGGCCTTAGGCCCTCTTGGCTCTCTCTAGAATGCCATCATTGGTGGTTCTTCACTGCTGCCCTCCTCTCTCTAGGCTCCATCTTCTCAGGGTTCCTGGTTCTGGAAGCCACCACCCTGTTGTGCTGCTGTTTTCTTGAGTGAGGAATGACCATCACAGTGCTCACTTAACTCTCAAGAGAGACCAGCTCACATCTGAGCTCACCCGGCTGCCCTGCCCTGCAGATACTTCAGGGTGTGAGTAAAAAGAACCACCATTCCGTCCTTACGCTAAAGGAAAAGAGGCATTCTGGTCCCCTAAAATTAAGTGTCTCCTGCCTCTCTTTTTCTCCCAAATTGTGAAGTTACACTCTTCCTTGTCCAGATTCACCACAACTCATCTGTGGTGACAGCTCCGACTGTGATGTAAGGAGGGGACTCCATGCCACCCATACACACGCGTGTCCGCACTCATGCACGTATACACAGACACGCATGCACACACGCACACACGCGCGTGTGTGCACACAGACACACGCATGTGCACGCGTGCACATTCACAGACACGCACACAGACGCACGCATATGCATGCGTGCGCACACACACACAACACATAGGCCACCATGGATAAAGAAACATGGTTGCTCTGAGACTTCCTCCTAAGTGGTAAAGCCTGTCTTGTAACATGGCTTGCCAGGCAATTTTCTATGGTTAAAAAAAATCAAGTTCTATTTTAAGTTATATTTTTATAAGAACGTGATTTTTTTTCTTTTCAGAGCCAAATGTTTAACCACAACACAGTGCTCACACATTAAAAACAAAACAAAAAAACTCCCTCTCCACTTCGAACTTAAAGGACAAGAGACCACAGAGTGGCCCTCATCTGAAGCCAGTTCCCCCTGCAGTTGTCCTGGCCCTTCCTGAGGAGGAGAACGGGACATGGAGGTGACAGCTGCTCATCTTCCCTGTGTCCCATCTCCACCACCAACAAAGCTTCCGAGAAGGCACCCATCAGCCTCCTGCTCTGGGTGCCAGGGGCTCTGATCTCTCTCCGAGGGCCCTACCACCCCAGCTCACAGTCCCCTGGCTCAGCCTGTCGTCGCTGCTTCACCAGCTGCTTGTCCAGCTCCCGGAGCTGCTTCAGGAAGCCCCGGTTGGGCAGAACACAGCGCTTCTTAGCCACTTGTTGGATGGCATCCACCAAGGTCATGTTCTTGTGGATCATCAGGTAGGCCAGGACCAGGGTTGCTGACCGGCTTCGGCCCATGGCACAGTGAACCAGGATCTTACCTGCAGGTGGAGGGGGACAGGAAAACCAATGCTGAACGGGATGAGGCGTCTTAACCCACATTCATTCTCTCTGTTGTCCATAGTTTGGATTGGGCCACAGCTCCCCATCTGCAAAATGGGGACACAGTCACTTGTCTCTTTCTTTCATAGGGGTGCTGGGAAGGCAGTTTGTGTCCAATAGACCTGTTTGCTGACTGGTGTGTGGTAGGATTGGTGAAAGTTACACCCGTTGCTCCGAAAGAGGAGAAGGCACCAAACCTGGAAGCTTTTTCTTTTGTCTCTTTATTTAGTCATGTTTAGCAAGGTTCAAAGGTCAAAGCCTACCCCAGGAGACTGACTGAGAAATCCCCTCCCACAGGGTTCCTTGATTCTCCAGAGCCACCAGTGCCCCTACCAATGCCCCCCTTCTTCCCAGAATCTGCCCAGCAAAGCAGATTTCCCTGCACACTCTTTGTTCTTGACTCCCAAACCCACAAACTTTAGATTCCCCCCACCACCTCCCTTCTCTCTCCTTCTACTGTGAATGGAAACCAGAGCCTTAAGCCTGCTGAACAACCACGGAACTGCACTCCCAGCCTTCCAAAGACCTTTTCTCTATCTTGCTTGTTTCGTTTAACAGTTTGCATGGGAGAGCTCTGTATATCAGTATATGAATAGTTCTCTTTTTTCTTAAACCACCCTCCTCCAGCCATGCTGGGAATAAAACCCAAGGCCTTACACATGCTACACACCCTCCAGCTATGCCCCAGGACAGTGCTTTTCAGAGCATATGCCTTCTTTCTTCACTAACGTGGGAGGTCATATGCAGGGCCTTGCTTGTGCACAGGGCCCATTATTCCACTGAGCTAGACCTCTCCTGGCCCTTGCAAGTAACTATTTCCAAATATTTTAATTGTTTATATTTTTGGACAAGGCTTCCCTGTGTAACCCAGGATGGTTTCAAACTCAATATTGTCCTGCCTTAGTCAGTCCCCCAAGTGCCCGGATTAAGCAATTTAAACAGAATGTGCCGGGAGAGCCCAGGATTACCCTGGATTGACCATCCTGTCTGGACTGGCGGTTCAGGACAAGGGTGTGCATGCCTTTACATCTGTGTGACATTGTGAATATGCCAGAGCTCCCACAGCCCCCAAAGGCTTTGTGAGCTCTGGACTCAGGACACATGGGAGCCTGCTGACTCCCTTCTGCTACTAACTGCCAGCTGGGTGACAAATGACAGACCCGCTTAGCCTCCTAAGCCTTAATTTCCTTAACTGTCAAGTGGAGGGGCAGAATCAGATCAGTAGTGAGGAGAACCAATCAGGATAAAGTCACATGGTCCATTAGGCTTTTAAACAGTGAAAGTAAAGTAGTTTGTGTTATCATTTATAAAGAGCTGGTGGGGGACTGGACCCACAAGTGGTCACAGAGGCCTTGAAGCCTCGTGGGTCCCCCGGCGGGTGGCCTGAGGCTTCTGCTGGAGACACAGATACGCCATGCAGAAAGATTGGGTATAGAGTTTATTTAGTGGGTTATGGAGGGGAAAAGGAAGGAGAGAAAGTGGGGAGAAGAGAGGCAGAAGCTGGCCAGACAGAGGAGTGGGGGGGGGGGAGGTTAGGAGTGGGGGGGGACTTGCCTCTTAAGGGGACAGGGTACCCAGGTGACAGACCAGACTGGCAGATTACAGTTTGAGTTTCTTTGTTTCGTTTGTTTGGGTTTTTTTGAGACAGGGTTTCTCTGTGTTGTCCTGGAATTTGCTTGTAGACCAGGATGGTCTTGAACTCACAGATCTGTCTGCCATCTGCCTCCAAAGTGCCGGGATTAAAGGCGTGCGCCACCACCAACCAGCTAAACAGTGAAAGTAGTTTTACTGTGTCTTGTGCCAGGGGCATAGGATGAACATCCCAACAACTAAAGCCAAGAAGCCCTTGTCTCCACGCTAGTTCTGGAGGGGTTTTTGTGGTGTGGTTTGCTGTGGTTTTAGACGGGCCATATGTATCCCAGGCTGGCCTTGAATCTACTGTGTACCTCATGATATTTTCAGCCACCTAATCCTTCTGCCTCCACCTCCAGGGTTCTGAGATTACAGGCACCCTGCTAATAGTACCTTTAGACATTGACTCTTTTGACTGTTAACACACATAACTTTGTTCTCATGACATTCACAAAGGCAATGGTGCCTTAGTATGAATGATGTCCCAGGTGTCAGTATGCCAGTAATCAGTGCTAAGTCCACCACCACATCCTGGGGAGTGGGCAGCCATTCCCTCGAGAATATCGAGAATATTTTCAATGCAACAGTAAAAATGAAGTTTTATCAAATTTCAGCCCTGGGGTACACTTCATGACATATACACAAAGCACACTGGATGCATACAACAAATATTTGTCTTTGAAGGAAAAACAGTATGTCCGGTGGGCATCTAAACTTAAGTATTTGGTAGCACTCTTCTCAGAAGTGAGTGAGCAAGGCCCAGTTGTGGGGCACATGTCTGTGGTGGCCCAGCACTCAGAGGCAGAGGCACAAAAACTACTGTGAATTTGAGGACTGCTTGGTTTATCTACAAAGTTATCCAGGCCACCTAAGGCTACCTATCTGGAAATTAAAAATAAATAAATAAATAAAGTGAACAAAGGCAGTCTGTCATTTCAAAGAAAATGTAATGTGGGTGTGGTCAGGGATAAAAATGCAAGCTTTCAGGCAGGGTTAGCATTCTAAATCTCCATCTAAACCAGGATGCTGAGTTCCTAATACTCCGAGAGTCTCCTATTCGGATGGATGTCGCATACCCCCAATTACAGCACTCAGGAGGCAGAGGCAAGAGGATTACTGCAAGTAAAAGGCCAACCAGGGCTACATAGTGACCCCTTCTCAATAACAAACCAAGTGGGTAAATAAACAAGAGCCCTAAAGGGCTGGGGCTGGTGAGAGGAAGAAACTCGCCATGGAACCATCAGCAGTGTGCGGTGAAGGCAGCAGGGATGGAAAGGCCCACAGAATTTGGCAAACCACAATTTTCGAATGCCAAGTATAGAACTTGTGACTACAGAATTGTAGCAAATGAGTCGTTCAAAGTGCAAGACTGGCTGGCAGGTTTGTTTTTGTTTCTAAGACAGGGTTTTATGTACCCCAGGCTGGCCTTGAACTCCCTACATAGCTGAGAACGGTGTTCAGTTTCTGATACTCCTGCTTCTTCCCCTTCAGTGCTGGGATTATAAGCTATGATGCTCAATTTACAGGGTGCTGGAGATCCACCAATCCATATATTATTTTTTAATGAATATTTGAAAATTTTCAGTTATTTTCAATGGAGAAAGCTTTGATAGATATTACCTATACATAGAAAGCCTTTAAGTCTCCACCAGTGTTTAAGAGTGTAAAATGTTCTGAAACCTAAAACTGTGAGAACCAGAGATCTCGATGCTGTTCAGGCCAATACCACCCACATCCACAGCTATGGTGCACACGTGGCCAGGTCCCACAGGTCTCCACTTGGTGGCGTTCTAGAGCCCACCCAGTACACTCGCTGGCCAGGACTCATTTCAGCTTTGACTTAAAACTCATTGTCATTGTCCCTGCTTTGCGGACTGATGGGGAACAGGTTTAGGAAGTGAAATGTCTTGTCAGATGTCACCCACAAGGCCAATGCCACAAGGAGCAGCTTAATGCAAAATTCGTTTGGGAGTCCCTCGCTGTGTGCCACTGTGCTCTGAGGTTTGGCCTTTCTTCTCCCTCTGTGGCGGGCGTTTCCTATGGTTGTGGGATTCTCTACTGAGGTTCAATGGGTTGGGGTGTCTGGAGCTGTCTGTCTTCCCACCTCACAGCCTGATGGCTGGAGAGAAAACAGAAAGTTCTTGTGGACAATTTCTGCACAGGCACGGTTCTCTGTCCTTTTCACACCCCTCACCCCACAACCCCGCTGTCCTCATGGGACGAAACCCAGGACAGCCACAAAGGCCAGAACAAGACAACATAAGAAACAAAAGAATCCCTGCGTGGAAGGCACCCCAGTTTTCCTATCTCACTCCCCCTGGGTTGGGAAGACCTGTGCCCTGTGACCAGTTGCAAGGACCACAGGGGGCCTGGCATAGAACTGTCCTCCAGTTCATCACAATTAATGCCTTTCTTTCTCCCCCAGCCAACAAGAAGGGCGGGAAACAGCCCCTTTGTTGCTGTGCCCTCTAGGGGGCACTGGTCCACATTCTCATTCTCATCCAGCATGAACATCCAAGCCGATGAACATCGATGGTAGATGGAGTGTTCCATCTGTAATGGTCTGCTCTGTCCCATAAAGAAACAAGTCATGCCCACCTCCCCCAGCCCCCCTGCTCCGCAGAGGCAAGCTGATCTTCAGCTTCCAGCCTGAGGAGTCCCTTCCTTCCTTCCTTCCTTCCTTCCTTCCTTCCTTCCTTCTTTCCTCCCTTCCTCCCTCCCTCCCTCCCTTCACCCCCCTCTCAGGCAGCTTCTGTCTCTCTCTTCTCCCCTTCCCCCCTCTGTTTCTCTCTCCTTCTCTCTGCCTCTCTCTCTCTCTCTCTCTCTGCTCTTCTCCCCTTTTCCCTCCCCCCTCCCTGTCATAACCCACTAAATAAATATCCAACCTCACTCTGCATGGCATGCCTATCCATGTCTCTGTCTCGCCCACTGTGTGGCTTCCTGCCCAGGACCTGCAGTGTGGTCATCTGTCTGTCTTTCCTCATGGGACTGGCTGCCCTGTCAAGGTCTCTCACTCACCAAAGAGCTCCCTGCCTGGGACTGGCTGCTCTCGGAACCCTGCAGCCAGCTGCCTGCCACCACTTAGGGACCATAATACCGTCTACCCAATGGAATGTTACAGGTAGAGGCCACCTGGCCACTGGCCAGCTCTGCCCATAGCTAAAGTGCTTCTTTCTCTCCTGTCCTAACTAAAGACTTGTGATAGATGACAGCTGTAGCCCATAGCTTTTGAGGAGCCTGAAGTCTCTGCTGGTCTTAGGTGCCCCTGGGCTCACCACTTTCCTGTCCCCAGAACCTCATGGTGCTG